AACAATGAAGCGATGAACGAACGATTAAATGCGCTTTCACTCGATATGGCCGCTATGCGAGAACACTATCCTCCTCCTCTCGATCCTCCTATGGATGATTAGACCTTGTCTTGCTTAGTTTTCTTGGATTGAACTTAGAACTTAATTGTTAAAACATTTTGACTGTTTTGGATTTGTTTGTTATGGATGTTTGGATGATTGAACTTAGACGTTTATATACATATTTGGTTTTGATTGTTTGAATTTGGTTTGATTTGAATATTTAATTTGAATTTTCATGTTAGTATATGTATCATTTACATTTTAGAAATATTATGACCAATTTACCATTACAAATTGATTATGAATATTGTTTATGAACTAATGGCTAATCTTTCTCTTGATTGTGATCTTAGCAGCTTAAGCTATATCTACATTTAAATCAATTGGCTATTTTCTTACAAACTTGTTTAAAAACATTTTATAGAGTCTTTTTTATTTAACAAAAAGGGGGAGAATAAAGTAATAAAGAAATGAGGAGAGTAATTTTCAAAATTGATTTCAAAAATGATTTTCAAATAAAATCTTAAAATTACTTAAATGTTTTGTTATATCAAAAAGGGGAGATTGTTGAAAACATTTTGATGTTTCGATATAACAAATAGAGTATAAATGATTTTAAGATTTTATCCGATTTCAAATATTTGAATTAAATTATTCGAATATCAAAAATATTACTCCAAGTTTTCAAATGTTAATTTCAAACCTTACTTAAGTGTAAAATTGTGTACGGGTCTTAAAATATTTTTTAAACAATTTTTACAAAGTATTTCGAATCTTAATCGGGACAAAATTGATTTTTACAAATGGAGGTACTGATACACTATTGGATGTATCGATACACCCCCAACATCAAATGCATTTTGTGTATCGATACACTGGATGATGTACCGATGCACTGGATGATGTACCGATACAATCTTGGCTTCAAGAAAAATCGAATGTAATTAGTGTACCGATATACTAGGTCAACCAACGGTCGATATTTGAATTTTACACTAAGTGTACTGATACACCTAGAGAGTGTATCGATACACCTACGCTCCCAACAGATTTTTTTAAATGGTATTCACACCATAACGGCTCTATTGACTTCACCAATGATCCCCAACATTCAGAATCAATTGAAGGTATATTTAAACAAGCTGAGGAGCCATTGATCAACAATAATTAAGAAGAGAAAGCTAGAGAATCAAAGAGAAAGCATCAAACCTCAAGTTTGAGCATTTCAAGCCTATTTTCATTCAATATTTATTTTTGCTTTCAAGAATACTATTTGTGTTCAATTGTATTATTCTTGAGTGTTCTTTCTTTGTTCTAGAATTGTGCAAACAATCTACCTAGTGAGGTTTTTCTGTAAGTTTGCGAAATTTGTATTCTTCTCTTTGGGAGAGAGTGTTCTCAAGAATTTGGGGTATAATTCTTGAAGGAGTTGTAAGGTTACACTTTGTCCTCAAAAGAAAGACAAATTAGTGAATTTGTGGAAAATTCTTAGTGTGGATAGCTAAGTTAGTGGACGTAGACTTGGTTGAGAAGTCGAACCACTCTAAATCGTTGTGCAATCTTTTTCAATTTTCTGCAAAAGCTTCCACCGAAATTTTTATTGTCAATTCACCGCCCTCTTGACCGATTCGTCGATCGATTAACTCAACAAGATAGTTCTCTCACAATGTTCAACTATGGTTTATGATTGTTAGTGATCTTTTTGTATTTTTGATCTCCTTTTGTGACTTGTTTATCAATATTGTTAGATTTGTTTGAATTCTTTAGATAATTTTTTAATACTTTTCTTACATTATCATTGTATATTTCAAGTGACTAAGTTGTTAAAGTCTATTATTATAAAAATACGTCTTGATTATATGTTTAATTTACATTTATAATTATAAACCTTATTATAATTTTAAATATGCTTTTAATAAAAATAATTACTTCTATTTATTATTAAAATAATATATTTTATAATATAAGTATGTCAAATCTATTTACATAAAATACTTTTTATGTGAATATTACGTAATTTAATAATATTTGAATTAATTTTAAGATATTTATCAAGTATATCTTACTTAATAAATCAAATATTATCAATAAGATTTGACTTTGACATCAAAATATAAATTCAACAATCACACAAAAAAAGTCCAGCAACACAACAGGTCAACGTTCCTTGATTGCTCCCGGGAGATCCATGCCTTGGAAAGGAAGGTCGACGCACGAAACACCACGTGGCCAGAGACAGACGATCCGACGGTGACTGTTACCCCGTCTGAACGCCCATAAACCACCGAACCCGCCGTCTGCGCATTGAACACGTGTCCGCAATATACACAGACCATATGACGGCGGCTGGTGACACGCCACATGCCGCCAGCGCAAGTGTCAAGAACCTATGTTTTTGGCACAAGAAAACAATTCGCAATGAGAATTGGAAGGGAAAAGGAAAGTGCGGAAGGCCAAGTCCTTATCATGCACTTGAGTGTGCTCCAGAGCTTCTTTGAATTATCACGTTCACCTTACTCGGGTTTCCCGTTTTGCCCCTCTTTTTAATCATTTGCTTATCTATATTAGGGATAGACACGAGACTGAATACGACGAATTTCGCCATGACCCGAATTGATCGGGTTGATTTAAAAAAAAAAAAAAAGTAGATTCAGGTTGTGTCAGGTTTGATTGAGTTTTTTTTAGAAAATATGTTCCAGTCAGATTGAGTTTAGATTTAGAGTAAAAAAATCCGATTGATTTAATTTGAAAAATTATATTATATATTTATTGATAATTACGATAATAACTCTCTATACATTATTTTTTTTCTTATTAGTTTCACATTTTTATTGAATAAAAATAATGTTTTTTATAAATATATTTATTTTGGGTTGAATCGAGTCATATTTATATTTTATCTCAAAAAATCAGATCAGATAAAATCACCCCTAAACTCAAATTAAATCAAGTTTCGAGTAAAAAGTTTATAATTTTAAGTCGAATTGGATTGATCGAAACTTAAACCGACTCATGCCCAACACTCATTTTGTACTAGATTCTTTTTAAAAAAGTATGATGATAAAACAGTTATTTTTTCAAACAATATAGTAATTGAATTAATTACACAACATGTTTTTAAATTATAATTTTATTTTAAATTAATCTTTAAATTTTTAAACATTTTAAATTCATCTTTAAATAATAATTTTTATTTTATATTAATTTTTAAACTTATGAATGATTTAGGAAATGCCATTATCTAATATTTTGGAATCAATTTAGAATAAGGATTATAGTTTGAGACGAACTTGTAATACATAAAATTTTGGCATTAATTTAGAACATACATCATAGTTCAGGAATAAAATTAAAAAGTTCAAAAGTTTAAAACCAATATGATACGTCTTTTGACATATCATATGGACATATATATCTTTGACATTCCCATATTCCTCATACGAGAAATATATAATAAGTAAAGTTCCGTACTCAACTATTCGAATGCATTCTTTAATTATAAGTTTAGAGATTAAGATTTTATTTAAGTCAAAACTAATAATTACTTTTATGGACTGTCTTCTTCTTCCACTATAAGTTTGATAATCAATCTTAACAATTGAACCAATACTCTCATCTATATTAATGATGAAACCCCATTTAGAAAGAGCAACTGCCACACTTAACAAATGGATCCAACTAATCACCTTGTTTTGATACAATTTAGAAGAAAATATGATGTCCAATGTCCAATTGTTTAAATAGTGGCCGGAAGTTATCAAATGACCATAAAAATAAGAGATTTCAAGTAACCTGAACAAGTACAATTTATTATCTTTTTACGAAATATGTTGTAGTCGATTTTTGATTTTAAAAGTAGATGAGATATGGAACGCTCGTTTATTGAGAAGTTTTACAGTGTGTTGCTCTTAATATATAATTAAAAAGATATTATTAATTTTATTATTATTTAAATAATAAAATCGGTAAAAAATTATTTAAAATATTATTATTTTTATCTAAAATATCAATATTTTTTAATATTTACTGTTGTTGTGCACTAGAAGCAACTACATGTGGGGGCATGCATGTGTCTATACTATTATTCAAGGCGTACAATCTTTGCTTTCCTTTGCCTCGAATGCAAAGCAACAAGAGTTCCAACGTCATTGCTATTCCAACAACATCTTTAAATAAATAGATAGAAATAAAACAAATCAAAGAGATGTGAATAAAATAAAGTGTCATCCGTATCAAATTAAACAAATCATTGGGTTTGTTTAACATAAATTATAATTGCTATATTAGGTGACTTTTTAAAATATATATAGGATAAATATAACTTTTCGTACTTAAGTTTATCATTTTGTGCAATGTGGTACTTAATTATAATTATTAACTATTCAAACTAAAAATATTCTAACTTTAAAGTTGGAGGGGATATGCTTTTTTATATAACGGGTTAATATTTTAATAAAGTAGAGATTAAATTGTAAGGACTAGATAACGAATTATAGTATAATAAGGGATTGAAACTACAGTTTTACCTCCTTTGAGGAAAAGAAAAGGTACGATGACAGCATAGCATTAAGTTACCAATTAACAAAAAGTCGAGATTATCCACAACGAAAAGCCAACGTCCAGTTAACTTCGCTAATCATAAAGGGTATTATCGTAATTTAATTATTACTATTCCTGGCCTCAGAGAAATTTCCCGCAATAATAGAACTCCATGAGAAAAAAAAATATTATTGAAGGAAAAATCAAAGAAGAAGAAGAAAGGAAAGAGAAGGAAAACTAAGCTTTTCATTTAAAAAATCCAGCGGCTTTGTTGACTCTTTCTTATTCCCCCCTCTTAATTTGTCAATTTACAAGTAGAAATTTAGGCTATATATTTGTAAATACTGTAGCTCAATAATCCTTCTCTTCAAAACAGATTTCGATTCTTTGTTTGTCTTTGCTGTTTGTGTGAATGTATGTATGATAGAATAAATATACGTGCTGAACCAAAGGGATTTATTTTTCTTTTTTAGTTCTTACTCTTGAGATTCCAATAGGGTCTCGTTTAACAAATTCATTGGCTTCTGATTGTAGGGGGGGACCCTTAAATTGTTGTGTTTTTAAAGAAAATTTTGATTGGATCCTGAGCAAATTTGTTGTTTCTTTGGAGGGAAAATTCTGGGTTTTGACATTTAATTAATTTTAAAACCATTTATTTTGGGGATTTATCTTGGTTGTTCGTAAGCCATGGCGGTTTCGACAATAGTTCTTTACGCTAGTCCACCGAGGAGCACGCCGAGCACCGTGTGCTCCGCTCCTATTCAGATCAACATGAATTCTCACGCTTCTTACGATTTTGATTTGAATTCAAGATCCTCGTCAACTTCCTCAACGACCGCTTCAGGTTCTTTACAGAGACCCGCTGTTGGTGGTCTATCGTGCCTCTTCTCCTCGCCGTCGGTAAAATCAAGCTTTTCTAGCGGTGGGGGAGACGATCTAGGGTCCTATAGAGGAGAAGATTTGAAGGAATTAAGCAGTTCATTTTGTTACTCGTCGAGTAAATTCGGTGGTTCTTCTTTGAAAGCCAATCAGAGCCCGATATCGGTGTTTCAGGGCCCGGTTTCGTATAGTAGCAGCGGCTCTCCTATGCGAATTGTTCGCGAAAAGGGTGGGGATGTGAATTTCCATGGCTCATTTCGTGTTGGGACAAATCGATTGTTCAACGGATTCATTAGGGGAACATTGGGATCTTGTCGTCATTATGATTCCCCGAGTTTCAAGGTGCAAAGCAGTAGTTGTGTTGATGAATTACCCTTCACTATGGAGGATAATTTCACGGAGGAAGTGGATTGGGAGCCTTATGCGAAGGAATTGCTTTTAGGTGCACAAATGAAGCACGGAGTATTTTCCGAAGATATTGTAATCAAAGCATTTTATGAAGCCGAGAAGGCACATAGAGGGCAGGTATAAACAGCGAAATTAATGTTTTGTTCTTTATGTTCTGTTGGTCTCTCATTGTTTATTAGGGTTATATGATGTTCTTTGTTTGTAGATGCGTGCGAGTGGAGATCCTTATCTGCAACATTGTGTAGAGACGGCAGTGTTGTTGGCATCCATTGGTGCTAATTCCACGGTCATTGCAGCAGGGCTTTTACACGACACCATTGATGATTCATTCTTGAGCTACGACTACATTTTTAGAACATTTGGTGCCGGGGTTGCTGATTTAGTAGAAGGGGTAAGAGATAGGAATCTCTCTTGCATTTGAAATTTTGGTATATTCAATTTGCAATAACGCTGCATATGATTATCATTGATCTATTACATGATTTGAATCTGGCAAATAGATGTAGCTTTATTATGGTTGCATATCACTATTTATAGCATTATATGCTGAGCATATTCATGGGTGCCACTTGGTCGGTTTTAATTTCCTTCATTGGATTAGAGAAATCACTATTCTTTTGAATGAATAAATGAAATCATAAGATTCTGATCATGGTATTATTATGTCGTCCGTGTAGGTCTCTAAACTTAGCCATCTGAGCAAGCTAGCACGAGAAAATAATACGGCGAGCAAGACTGTTGAAGCTGATCGCCTTCACACCATGTTCCTTGCCATGGCAGATGAACGAGCGGTTCTTATTAAATTGGCAGATCGGTTGCATAACATGATGACACTAGATGCATTGCCTCCGCTCAAGCAAAAGAGGTTTGCTAAGGAGACTTTGGAAATATTTGCTCCTTTGGCCAATCGGCTAGGAATCTCTAGCTGGAAGGAGCAATTAGAGAATCTATGTTTCAAGCATCTCAATCCGGAGCAGCACAAAGAATTGTCTTCTAGGCTTGTGGACTCATTTGATGAGGCAATGATCACTTCTGCTATAGAGAAACTCGAGAGGGCGCTCAAGGATAAAGAAATTACTTACCATGTTCTCTCTGGACGACATAAAAGCTTATATAGCATTTATTCAAAGATGTTGAAGTATGTTATCTCTCTCTCTCTCTCTTTTTCATACATACATAAACACCCATGGCAGGCAGAGGATAATCACATTCACACACTGACTATCATCGAGAGACATTCACACGACATTGTCACAGGTGTATGCACATTTTCTACATTGTAATCTTTTTCTCAGAAGACTAGGCATGTGTTTCGGGATTGTTTTTTCTTTTCTAGAATTCATCAACAATTGATTAGGCAAAGGGTGAAGGAGTAGGCCATTGTTGATGCTAAATATTATCTTCTTTTTGCAGGAAAAAGTTGACAATGAATGAAATCCATGATATTCATGGATTACGAATCATTGTTGAAAAGGAGGAAGACTGTTATGAGGCTTTGAGAGTAGTTCACCAGTTATGGTCTGAAGTACCTGGAAAGCTGAAGGACTATATAAGATACCCTAAATTTAACGGGTATATTATACATGAACATGTTTCAGTATCGTTCTTAGATGGAATCTGAAAAACTGCAAAATTTCCTTCTAACTTCCTTACAATCTGCAGGTATCAGTCTTTGCACACAGTGGTGATGGGTGAAGGTGCAATTCCACTTGAAGTTCAAATTCGAACAAAGGAGATGCATTTGCAAGCCGAGTTTGGCCTTGCAGCTCACTGGAGATACAAGGAGGGTGACTCAAAGTACTCTTCATTTGTACTTCAGATGGTTGAGTGGGCTCGATGGGTTGTGACTTGGCACTGTGAAACAATGAGCAAGGACCAATATTGTTCGATTGGCTACACTGATCCTGTCAAGCCACCCTGCACCTTCCCAACACATTTGGATGACTGCCCGTTCTCTTATAAGCCTCATTGCAGCCAGGATGGACCTGTCTTTGTTATCATGATCGAAAATGATAAGGTATGTATCCTAAATGGCACACTTCGTCTTACTTGCTGATGGAGATAGGGAGTTTGGTCTGAATATTTATGGTTCTATGAAAGTTGCAGATGTCAGTGCAGGAGCTTCCGGCAAACTCAACAATGATGGATTTGCTAGAAAGAGCTGGGAGGGGGAACTCGAGATGGTCTCCATATGGGTTTCCAGTGAAGGAAGAGTTGAGGCCAAGGCTGAACCATGAGCCAGTGAGCGATACAACATGCAGGCTGATGATGGGGGATGTGGTGGAGCTAACACCATCCATACCCGACAAGTCTTTGACAGAGTACAGGGAGGAGATACAGAGGATGTATAACCGAGGTCTCCCTGTTTCCAGTACGGGACCCTTGTCTAGTACTATGTTTGCTTCAAGAAGTTGACCTGACCCTCTTCAATTCTTACTTTATGCAAAAGAAAAAGAAGCAATAGCTTATTCTTGTGTAAAAAAAAATATTTGTACAGAACAATACTATATGGTTCCATTGCTAGGAAACATTGGCCAACTGGATTCAGCAATCAATGAAATGATTGATTTCTTAGCAGTTTCCTCCGTTAATTCATTCATATGTTGTGCTTCATGGCTCTCGATTGCTCAATTCCACACGGTTTATGAACACATACAGGAAAAAAGTGCAGAAATTGCCAGATAGGGAACGTAACTACGCGTGAAGAACATTTAACATTAAGAATTGAAGCAGTAACTTGGTCAGATTACAATGATCAATAACATTCAATCATGATATCAGATGAAACATCAACCATCGTTTTGATGAACAGGATAAAACTTAAAAGCATATATTATCCTACATAGATGGATTTTTGAAACAGCTTACGAAAACGAGTCTTCACTTGGGGGTAGGGATGGCAAACGGGCGGGTCGGGTGCAGATACCCCCTCCCCCCATCCCCATACCCACATAATATTTTTCAATCCACCACCCGCCCACCACCCATGATGGGTACAAATTTTCAAATCCACACCCGCTCACGCGGGTATATTTTCAAATTCATCCCCACATCCACTACCCACTAGCGACATACCCATCTAGACCCGCCTGATAGCAAACTAATGGGATGTTGGAGTTGGTTCCCAAACAGTTCGTGATGGGGTAGCAGCGCATGCTTCAATTTGTCAGAGGAGTAACTCTACGAATGTTATGGAGACAAATTGTAGGGAGCATGTAGTCGCAGAGCTGGATTGTTGTGTTGTTTTCGATGTTAATGCTCATAGTGCGCCTAATATGGGTTTTGAGGGACTAAAGAACATGGAAACTGTTGCTTTTGATGTTAATGCTTATAGTACGACTAATTTGTGTTTGGATGGGCAGCATGGGCTAAAGAACATGGAAAGTGACGTGGTTAGTGGGATTATGGGTTTAATCAAAGAGCCGAATATTTCCCTAATTAAAGACCATATTAAAGACTAAATATCCTTAATATTTGGATAAATTATATGTTATATATTATACAATATTAAAATTTATAAATTAGTCTATAAAATTACACCTAAATTTATAATGGTCCAAAATTTAATAGATATTTAGCTGGGAGGACGGATGCGGGTCGGGCGGATGCGGGGCGGGTAATATCTCAAACCCATTACCCGCCCACCACCCACGACGGGTACCACTTTATAAATCCACACCCCGCCCACTACCCGCTAAAATTATACCCATCCCCGCTCCAATTAGAGCGGATGCGGTGCGGAATCAACGAAACTGTACCCGTTTGCCATCCCTACTTGGGGGCTTAGTGAGAGGAAACGATACTCTGAGAGATGTTGGGTGTGCCACATCGGTTTTCTGCTCTTGCGACGAATTCGGTTTAACACTTTCTTCATCGTCTTCAGTCTCTTCCATTGCTGGAGTCGATTGCTTCTTAGGGATAGCAAATTGGTAGTTCGTGCTTATCAATGTATCATGCTCAGGAGGAAGGGGAATTCCAGGACCTGGTATTGCCTTCGGCAATGGAACTTTGTTCCTATTTCTTGCCAATTCCAAAAGCACCTAAAAACAACAAAAATCCAAAACTATTTTCACAATATTTATTCATATATTTGCTTCATTCAAGAACATGAAAAGATTGGTTAAAAATACGGGGAAAGAACAAAAACAAGATTTATGTTATTTTAGCACCTCCCAAAAGATCCCTGGGTTAATTATCCAAAAAAAAAGATCCCTGGGTTGCATAACGCTAACATCATGAGAACAAGTCAAATATTGTTAATTTTTAGAGACGCCACAGATCAATTTAATCAGCTGTAAATCCCACAAAGAACAACTTTTTTTTAAAGCAAATAGTACCTCTCTTGGCGGAGGTTGTGAGAAGCTGAAATTGACTTTGGATTGAATAGCAAGCTTCACATCATCGCAATCGATGGTTTGCTTGCCGGCATGCTCACAGTAAACCTGTGCATCTGACAACACATCCACCACATAGCGATACCATAGCTCAAGAAACTGATGGATAACGCGAGGTTCATATTCCTCAACGCCCATTGATTTGAGCAGTGACTTGACAATCTTTGCATCCCTCGGCAGATCCTCTCCTCCTCCCGCCATTGCCCTTTGGCTTTTCCCTAAAAAGTTAATATTTCAACAAATTGATGATTTGATTCCTCGGCGTACAAAGAAATAAAATTGACAAAATAAAGAAGAAAAAAGGATTTGGAATTCAAAAACAAACGAAACCTTATGTGAAATTACCTTTGCAAAGAGATTTGATTGTTGCGGAGATTCCAGCAGTTTCAGCTACAGAATATAGGATACTACACAATTTATATTTTTTTAGGGTACATTAGAGCGAATACCACTAAAATTTTTCTATGGACTCGTTTATACCATTAAACTTAGTTTAAATTCAATTATGTCACTCTGCCTTTAAGTTACTAATAGGACGATGACATGACTAACGGTTGCTGATGTGGCATGTCATACCAAAACAACATCGTTTGGACGCGATTGTTCTAATGCCATATCACTGAACTTTTATACAATTTTTTTATCACTGTATTTTTTTACTATTGTCGTTTGTCAGTCGCCATCTGTCATCATCATCTTTAGTAGAAAAATGGGTTTCAAAATGTTCGCATTTGACTCGTTATTCTTCTCATATGATTAGTTCTCTATGAAACTCTTTTAATATCGACGAAATTAAACACAAAAAATCTACCATTTTTAGATGTTTGAAGACTTTATTAAATGTATGGGATTTAGGATGTTTATTTTAAAAAATTGAACAGTGGAAATTATTATTTTGTGAAGAGGAATAACATACCTCAAAACTAGTCTCATCGGTTGGTCATTGAAAGAGATCATAATATTAATACGTTAAACTTTTAAATGGATTTCGTCAATTTTGCACGGTTTTCTTGGAAAACCAATCCTCAGAATAAAAAGAGGAGTGAAATACGAATATTTTGGTATCACGTTTGTCATAACATATGATTGATAAACGACGATGTTTGTGTAATGCCCTGGAACCCAGTCATTATTCCAGCCAACCCGAAACCCATAAGTCAAGCCAGTTGAACCAGTTCAAAAAGGATATCGAGCTTATGTTGGCCCAATAGTTTATCCGTAGCTTGTTTTAAAGGTTAAAAACCCTCTTATCTCCATTATTTTTTACGTGAGTTATTCCCCAAAAATATTTTCCCATTTTTTTCTTCTCCAGACTCTTCTTCTTTATTTCTTCTACTTAGCCAAGATTAGACTCTAAGGAAACCTAAGCCTAGATTGAATCAATCAAGGTAAGAAATCTATTCTTAGTTTATTTTATAGTTGTTTTATATTTAAAGAAAGTAAGAAAAAGTTGGTTAACCACTTGAGTGGTTTCGTGTAGCATCTTAAATCGGTCGATTATGTGTCGTACTGGTCTAGTGTGTTACATTTAGGGGGCGTTTGGATGGGGGAATGTGAGATTCCCATGGGAATAGAATCCACATTCCCCCGTTTGGTTAGCACGGGAATCCCATTCCTGGTAATGTAAGATTACCATAGTTGATTTTTTGGTATATTACCGGGAATGTCATTACCTCCATTTCCTTAGGTATTGTTGGATTACAGGCGTTTTGGACTAAAATGCCCTTAATTTTTTTTCTTTTAAAAATATCATTCTTCTGTCATTGAATAATAAAAATTCTACGAAAGTTAAATTACAAATTTATCCTTAAACTATTTTAAATTTACAAAAAAGTCTATAATTAAAATTTTATATGAAGTTCAGGGGTTAAAATAAAATTTTACCCTTTCATTAAACCTTTTTATATTTTCAATTTTGTAAAAAAATTATATAAATTTTATGAATTTAAATTTTTTAAAGAAAATATATAATATTTTCCAACTTGTTAAAAAAAACAAATATAATAAGGACAATTTGGTCAAATATATATTCCAATAATCTTTATTCCTTTAACCAAAACACGGTAATCTTGCATTCCTGCTAAGCTAACCAAACACAAATACAACATTCTCAGTAATCTTATTCCCTGGTAATCTTACATTCCCACTGGTAATCTTACATTCCGTGAACCAAACACACCCTTAGTGGTATCAGAGCATTATGATTGACGTTATTAGGACCCGCGGGTCAGTGTCGGTCTGTCAATATCAGTAAAGAGTTTATAGGTATACATACACCTAAAGTGTTAACTCGTACTTCTATATTTGCAATAGTGATAGTAATTCTTTGTTTCCTCTTAATTTTAGAATTTTAGATATGGACAAAAGCCCAAATCATAGTAGAGACGAGAGTAGAGCTCCTTTAGTCAGTGATTCATTAGATGAGTTCGTCCCAGACTTCGAGTATGGAGAGCTTTGAGACGCTGGAGTTGATGAGGGTGCATTCTTCAGGAATCTAACCTCTACTCTAGAGTGCATAGATAGAGTTATTCCTCAGGCACCTGCTACCCCATCTATCCAGCCAGTCCAGCCTGTTCTTCTAGTTGTAGCACCTTAGGAAAACCCAGTAGAGAGGCTTTGGAGGTACCAAAACACTGAATTTTTTGGGTTAGGAGATGAAGATCCAATCGCAGTCGACCTGTAACATCCAAAACGTCGGGTCAGTGACTAAAATACAAATTCTAAAACCTTAGTGCTTAATTTTGAAATAAGTTAAAAGTTTAGGGACTTTATTGGAGAATTTTGATATTGGATTTAATTGTAAAGTTTGGAAGTAATAAGGGTGGTATGGTCTTTTCTAATAGAAAATTTTTATTTCTCTTTTTAAGGGGATATAAATACGTGAAAAGAAGAAAGAAATGAAGAAGAGTCTGGAGACTTAGTTTCTTATTCTCCCTCGTTACCGTGAGCTCCATCTTGAAGGTAAGTTTTGGTAAATTGATTATTTATTGAGTTTTAAGCTTGGTTTTGATTCTTGGTGTTCTAAGAAAGATTAATTAGAGATTTAAGTGTGTTGAAACTCCAAAATAGATGAGTTTTGAAGGATTAAATATGAAGAGCTTTTATGTGAATTATTGAGATAGAAGGAGTTAATAGATTTTGAAGTTGAATTTGACTTGTCAATGGTTGAATTAAAAGATATGTAGTGCTAGAAGTGGATTTAGAACAAGTAGAAATTTTGGTAGGATTCTTGAATTCTATGTGGATGATGAGAATTTGAGGATAAAGATGTGTTAAATGTATAGGAATTGGTTTGAGTGGTGTATTTTGAGTTAGAATATCTAAGGAGCTAAGTAAGGAAGGATTTAAGTTGATTTGGTATGCTTTTTGGGTTTTAAACAGTCTATCTGGACAGGTGTATCGGTACACTATGAATAGGTATCGATACACTAAGACTAAATTTGAAGAATAGCTTCATAGTGTACCGATACATTAATGAGTGTACCGATACCCGTGAATTTCGGAGCTAATATGAATGAGTTCTGAGGTATAATAGTTTTATCATTTAATATAATTACATGAAGTATGCATCATAGGAAATAATAATGTGAAGTTATATTTAAGTTTATTTGCCACTAAGTCATCGACTTAGCGTGTAATGTTTCATACGTAGTTTGGGAAAGAGAAAAAATAAGTAAAGAGAAACAAGACATGTAAGTATCTCCCTTACAAAGATCAGATCAGAAACAAATTGAATATATGTATTTTGTGTTATATAATTTAGTTGGCATGTAGTTACAAGATTTAAATTGAATAAGCTCTGATCGACTTTTGTAAAACAATTTGATTGTATTTATTAATGTAAAGTACTCATTTTTGTAAATAGTGAATTTAATATTTTGTGAATTTGTAAAGACAGAGTTTGAAAAAGTCAATGTGACACTTCGGACTCGAATTCGGGTCGGATACAGGTTGGGGGTGTTACATTTAATGGTATCAGAGCTAAGGTTTAGTCAATTCTAGGCTTAAACCGAAGTCAAATGAGTTTTGAAAATGTATTATATCAACTCAAAGTGAATTTTTTTGATCTGATAGTGTAAGGAGTATATTGTCTTGTTAATAAAATAAGATTAGTATGAGATAGTTATGAGAATAAAATGGTTAAAGTGAATCGAGAGGTGATAAACCTTATGTTGGTAGTAATTCAACTACCCTGGCCAGGCAGGATGAAGAGCGGATACCTCAGGAAGTGCCTCGTAAAATCAAATATGGATTTTCATAAAGTTGAAATCATGTTAGAATAGCGTTAGAGGGTTTTTATTATTTTCAATCGGGAAAGTAATAGGGAACAGTTTCGTTATTTCGTGGATAAGATAGAATATGGTGAACAAATGTCACCATGTGAACGATAGAAGATTTAGTGACGAGGTTATTAGTTTTGAAACATTTGAGAATAAGTATTTGGTGATAAGTTTATCAGATGTATAAAGCCAGAGCCTATGAATTTGAAACAGGGGAATCGTACTATGTATGGATAAGAGTGTAGTGCGATAAGTTAAGTGAATAGTTGTTAAGCTAATTTACAGGAAAATGAGGCATGCAAGTGGATTGTGAATGATTTGTTCTCAAATTAAAAGAATGTTATTGGTGATGAAATCATTTCCATTCCAAGAAGTAGTTAATAGTGCTAAAGTTCTAGAGAGAACTCTGAATGATTAAAAGAATTTGTATTTTATAAAGATTAACACTATCAAAGAAAGGAAAAAATTTTGGGTTTCACATATAATCAGGGTTAGAAGTAGTAGTATTCCATGTTAAAAGATCAAATCTGATGAAGTCAGAAACGCTTGAGTAGTAGGATCTGATATTGGAAGATAAAGTAAAGAGTTAAGAATTAATATGAATTAAAGGGTGGAGTGGATTAAAAGTTATGTTAGAAATTATGTAAAGTGAAGTATAGAAGTATTTTAAATGGATCAAGTGATATAGATATTGTTTGTAAGAGATTAAGAATGAGTACATCGATGATTGGTTATAAGATGAATGAAGTTGAAATGTTTGAATTTAAACCCAGGAATTGCAATATGAATGAGTAAGAATGTGAGTTTGATAAATCAAATAAATTATTTACGAGAGTTAGTTTTCGACCGAAAATAATGTATATGATTGGAAGAACTATTGATGACTCACATCGTTGGGTGATGATGAATGTATTAGAATTTAAGAATTGGAAGATGATGTCAGGTTAAGCTAACAAAGTATAACGTGAATTTGAAATGGTTATGTATTTGATTATGTAAATATGATGTAATGAAGGGATAAGGATTAGTATGTTTGAAGGAAGTTAAAGATGGATAAGAAGTTTGAGATGATGAAAATGATATGAGTTCCATGATTCGAACAATGAATTTACCAAGAATAAGATTTGTGTAGTAGGGTTGT